GAGAATATTCTTTTAATCCACGCGGTACTCCAACTCACGAGACACTCTCACCAGAACGCAGCGTTGGTCTTTATCGACTTCGAAAAGACTTACGATCACGTGGACTGGTTGTTCTTAGATAAGTGCCTGGAAAAAATGAATTTTTGGACCGGACTTCAGACGCTGGGTTCAGATCCTACACCGGAATGCAACCACTTGCATTCAAGTTAATGGGTGCATGACACCGCCCCTACGCTTGGAACGTTCGGTCCGCCAGGGGGACCTAATTGCCCCTTTCCTTTTTTTGGTCATCATGGAAGCACTAACCGCCAACCTCCGAGTAAACAAGAACATCACCAGAATCCGAGTCACACACATCCCGGAGGAGGCAATCCCAGTATGCTCCCTTTTTGCGGACGATTTCACTATCTTGGCAGAAGCCACTCACAACAACATGGAGGAAATCCGACAAATGATGGAAAAGTTTGCCAAGGTTTCCGATATGACAGTCAACTGGAGGAGCAAAACTCAAGGATGGTGGATTCATTATCAAGGGGGTCGCCCCCCAGAGTCACCATGTATCAAATGGATGCCTTTAGAGACCCCCGTAAAAATTTTAGGGTTTTCCATGACCATCGAGGGACGACCGTCAATCAATGATGAATGGATTAGCGCCCCGACACGACAAAAATTAGATAACTGGAGAAATAAACACACATCCCTCTTCGACCGCGTCTTAGTAATTAACAACGTGGTCTTCGCAACATTATGATACACATCGTTACTGTGACCACTAAGCAAAACAGCCTTAAAAAGCTTAAAGAGAAAGGCAACAACTTTCCTATGGAGGGGGGATGACGAGCAGAACAACGTGATCAGCCGCGTGGCGTGGGAGTCTATTATCCAACCTAAGGCAGGGGGAGGCTTGGGAATAATTGACCCAGCCACGCAAATGCAAGCACTACGACTAAAATGGATTAAAAAACTCATTTTCACCCCCCAGTGTCCGTGTTGTGCATTGGCTCTGGAACATCTAGCCCGACTGACCCCAGAAACCCCCCAAACTACTCACCCACTGATATGGCTGGAGGACCGATTCTGGACAGTCTCACGCAAGCCTCCCCGAGGAAGGGAGGGATTGGGCGGAGGCGACCAGATTCTGGACAACTTTTGGTCATCCTTGCTGGAGCCCTGGCGCAGACTCCCGCTTCCAGACATAATTTATCATGACCGTTGGGAGGAAGTCTACCGGCAACCCCTTTTTGGAAACCGATAGGTGACCAACTTGAGTGGCGGTATCATGATAAGCTCAACCTTGTCTTGGAAAAGTTGGGTAAAGAGAGGGGTGCACAGGGTTGGGGATCTCTGGGACAATGACAGAAGGGACTGGAAAAAAAGAGACCAGATGCGAGGAATCCTACGATATTGTCACCACGTAGAGGAGCATTTGGATAACTTGATTGAAGCCATCTCGTTGGCATGATACCAAATCCTTAAACAAGGTCCCTCCTTAAAAGAAGGCGACTGGGTAGCATGTACGGAGTCTCCTTAGATGATAGGTCAGATACACATGGTTTCACCTCGGACGGTCCTGGTTGAGCACTACATAATCACTAGACATGACATCCTCGTAGCAGAGTCTCCCTCGAATGGAAAGAGAGAGCATCTGTGTATCGAGTGGGAGTTTTAGAAGAGAAAGGACAGGGGGTGGTGATCCATCCCTTCAAATCAATCCAGGACCTGACTCTGGACCCAACAGAATGGACATGGGAACCCCCCCAGCAGAGGGGAGGCCCCAATGCAGGTCACATCAGCTTAGACCAGTTGTCGGTCAAATCAACCATAAAATGCTCAGACCTAAAAGACGGTTCAAAAACATAGTAAACGACGGATGGGCCAAACACCTAAATGTGGATCGCTCCCTTCTGATTCCAATAAAATGGTTCCAAGAACAAAAAACAAAACCCATGAAAATCATTTCCCTGCAGTGGCAGATCGCCGATCCCTGTCTGCCAACAAATGACTGGTCGACCGACCATACCAATTTAGAACAAAAAGGTCTGCTGCTTCCGTGGTGCCAACGGTGTCAGAGCGTTTTCCCTTTCTACAAAAAGGCGGAAACCATCGAACACATCTTCATGCAATGCCCGATCGCCCTATTTATATGGAGATGGCAGGATCGCATATGGAGAAAGATGGAATCTGCAATTCCCTGACCCTGGTCTTGACAAGCCATATTGGTCGGCCATTGGCCACAGGCAGAAGCAGCCACAACCTTCGTAGAGAATATGTACAGACTTGGAAGGAGAGCGGTGACATGGGCACTTTGGTGGCAGAGATGCATGCTGGCTATGAAAAAGGTGAGAGTAGAGGAAGCAGAAATCACCGCACAGATTCAACAGCAGGTACATTTCGAACTCACACAAAGGTGGCTAGACACAAAAGCACAATTAGACCTCTTTAAACAAGTAGAAGATGTTAGGAGACGGATCACAACATTTTGCACAAATTGGGTGGGAGGGGAGAGAGAAGGATGGCTTGCAAGAGTAGAATGGAGCGGAGACAGGGGAGAGGGACAGAGGGACTTGGAAGAGATGAGAGACTATCACCTAAGTTTTAAAGACTGGACAAACATAGAACCCTCATTCCCACTTCGCCCCCCCGCTGATTTTCCAAACCCTTTCCCACCCCACGCTCTTTCCCTGGCAGAGATCCTGTCCTGAACGATAAAATCCTGTTACCCAGTCTTCTACACATTTCTAACTTGTACAAAACTGACATTTCGTTAAAACTGACATTTTTTTCTAAATCCACGAAAGTGGACTTAGTCAAAATTTCATTGCTCATCGGGTGAGAAAGTGGTTATCTCACTTTCTCCATCTGATGTACCTCAATGTAAAGTACCGATGATCTGATCATCCGACGTCATGGGGACGAAAAAACACAAAAAAATGTTGTTTTTTTATACGCTTAATTTCGTGAATTTAGAAAAAAATATTAGTTTTAACTAAATGTCAGGTACAAGGAATTCCTCCCTGGAGCCCCCCGGGGAGGTTTTTCTTCTGCTAACAACCTTTTTTCTTTTTTGCTTTTCAGTGATCTCCCCCTTCTACGGAATGGGGCAGTCAATGTCATGGGGGACTGGGAGGGGGAGGGAGGAACTATTGTGTATTAGTAGGCATCTGGTGCCGGGTTCAGGGTGAAGAGGTTCCCCCTTCCTTCACAAATATCCAGCTCATTAAATCCCCTGGAACCCAGGGTAATCAATGTTTGGAGGGACCCTCCCCGTAACTGTTTTTCTTCTGTGTATTCTATGTTCAATCTGTATAAGGGACGCTGGACCCGTTTTCCAGCAGGTGATGCTCCCCACCAATAGATGGAGCGTCTCCCCAGGTGCTAGTGGTGTCTGCTCTTATCAGCACCACTCCTCGCCTCTGCTGAAAATCACAACTCACAACTCACAATCCACAACCTACAAATCACGGCAACCATACGTGCACAAGGCTATAACATACACGGTATATACAACGGACAATAGAAACTGCAAACTGTGAATAGCTCAATAACACATATATAGTCATAGACACAACAACACAAGACAACCACTGTGTTCAAGGCACAAACTTGCACAACAGACGTACTCGGCCACAAAGACCTCACATCTACTGCAAATCACAACTCACAACTCACAATCCACAACCTACAAATCACGGCAACCATACCTGCACAACGCTGTAACATACACAGTATATACAACGGACAATAGAAACTGCAAACCGTAAATAATTCAATACCACATATATAGTTATAGTCACAACAACGCAAGACAAACACTGGAAAGACATGACTAACACAGTCAATAGATTACTATCGCGAAACATGCATTTTTTACATTGTACTCTACAGGGACGCTGGACCCGATTTCCAGCAAGTGCTGCTCCCCACTAATAGATGGAGCCTCCCCGAAGGTGCTAGTGGTGTCTGCTTTTATCAGCACCTCTAGCAACCATTCGGATTGTTTTT